CTTTCAGGGTGGCACAAGATGCAGGAGAGGCCTTGATGCTGTGCAAGCACTCTTCAGCAATAACAAAAACATTTCTATACTATCAATACCATTTTCAATACAAATCCAAAACACAGCTCCATACTAGCTACTGTGAAGAAAATCAGCTCTGCCCTGGCCAGAATCAGCACAATATGATACAGTAAGATTAATATCAACAGTTATGTGTTTATTTAAAGTTGTAATTGTATCATCAAGTGTTTCTGCTTTTCAGTTGGAAAAAAGAGCACTTGGTGTAACCCCTTAGGAAACAAAGTATTCAACATAATTATGAATTGTATCTGGTAAAGTAATACTTCCAAAAATATTTGAAGTGAAGTAAATATGCACAGATGGTTTAGGGGGATTCAAGATCTCTGACCACTGTAAGTGGTGACAATAAAATGTATTTACAAACTTAGGAATAGGCTGCATTAGATCATCCAATTAATACATTTTTTGACTGGTATTAATCCATTTTAGACTAAAGCATGAATGTGTGATCTATTTACAGTAAGAAGCATAATAGAAGTTACAAAAGTGGACTTAATTCGTATAAGAGTGTTTCAAAACCATGTGCAGACTAACAGACTTGCAAAATAAATGTGTGTCAGTGTGTCTGTGTGTTATGCACGAGTGTGCAATCTCTTGAACAGTGCTGTCAACTGAGGTGCAGATTTCCCTGTCATGGCTAGCAGGTTCAAATCCTGTAATTTTCTTTTATTCTCTCTCACAGCAAGATGTGTTTTACCCTGTAGTTGAGCTGAAAGTTTCTATATGAAAGAATGCTGAGGATTCTTTATTCACTTTTGTCTTGATTGGGTCTTAATTTGAAATGTATGTTTCATGCTAAATAGCTGGGAAAAAAAAAAAGAAAGCAAGCTACACCAGAGTTCACACCAGAGAGTTATGTTGCTCATCTGTGCAGGGTCCTATTCGTGCACTTACTGTCAACTAATTGTGAGGAAGTGTCAGTGACTTGATCTGAGTTGCAGCAGACACAGAAGTCAAGGTGGATTCCTCGGCTTAATTTCATGTGTTGTGTAAAGAAAATGCTCCCTATAGACATAGTTTGTGTTTCATATCACTGCATTGGCTGACCCTTATCTTTCAAATTGCTACTCTTGGGCCAACTTCTCTTAGAGAAAGGCCAAGTTATCACAATGAAAGGCTGATTGCATAATGGTGCATATTGTGGATTGTTGTTGGTTGGCAGCATCGCATAAGTGACTATTCATCAAAACTTGCTCTACCAGAACTGTGAGCATTCTCATGCTCTTTCAGAAAAATGTCAATATGTAAGATTATGAATGAAACACCACATCCATAGTGCTTCTTGAAAATTGCATACTGGTCTTATAAGCTAGATGCTTGTTTTTTGGAAGGGTGCAGGGGCCATTCTGTCTTTCACTATAGAAACAGATTCTACCACCACAGGTTTTGCAGGTTTTGAATATTTGGAATTTGCATTGATTCACAGCTGAAGAAATATGTTTGCTTATGACAGTAGAGTTTCTGAGACCTTTCAGTCAGTATGTGTTGCACTATACTAGGAACAGAAAAAGTACGACACAGACTCTCTTAGCTTTGGTTGCACAAGAGAGTCTGTGTCGTGCTTCTGCTGTTCCTAATACAGTGTGACAAGTATGAACACTACAAATTGTTCTCTGTTCTTATTTTGAGAATCCTCAGTTGAGGTGGATTTTGAATGGAGCCAGCTGGAGGCTACAGTTGTTTTGTGTCCTTCTAACAGACGTGTCTGATCAGAGAAATGCTGAGCTCACATGAGGCCCCTGAATATCTACCCTGAAATCACATGCAACATTGTGAGTTAGGAAAGTAAATTTATTTTAGGCTGAGCTACCAGTTGTAAGTAAGTAATGAAAGGAGTAATTCAAGAAAATAAAAGGAGTGAGAAGTGCTGGATAAACAGAAAAAACCCGAAATCTAAAAATCCCTTAAGTTTTCCACTGTGTTTTTGGACATAAATAGGACATTGGTATTATCAAATGAGCAAGTGAAGAAAGGCCATGAACTGTGCCAAGACAGCAGTCTTTGTTACATCAAGTAATTATATTCTCTGTGCCTTCTCTCAAACAGTTGGAGAGCTGGTTTTTCTTTTAATTTACTTGCCTGTTTTGGTTAAACAGCTTCTCAGTTTTTATTTATGGTGCATAACTTCTCTGACTACATGGAAACCAGGAAGGTACCCCCACTTGTACTACTAGAGAAGCTTTTGTGGAAATTCTTCCTCTCACTGATGCTGGTGCTCACACACAAAACATAAAGTGAAAAGAAAAAAAATAAAAATGAACTTCCCAAGTTCTACTGATGTAGAATAGTTACACAGAAGATTGCATGTTGTCCCTGGTGAGGAAGTTTAAGTCACCATTGTCATATTCTGTAATGAGGTCATGTACTCTGTCACTTTTTTTTTTAACACCAATTTCTTGACATTTGATTATTTCAGTGTGGGTGGGTGAATGTTGATTATAAGGTGGTGAACTAATATTTCTGAAGCCCTTGAAAGATGATAATTCAGGCTCAAGGTTGCCTAGGAAATTCGTGAAGAGAACTGAAATTTATTAGCCTTAAAATAGTGCTAACAGAGTATCAGACAAAGCTTGTAATCCTTAGGAAGGTCTATTCTGTCTTCTTTTAATTTTGTATCCTGTTAGTAAACCATCCCTTTAAGTACTGGATTAGGCAGCCTCCCTCTGAAAAGAGGATGGATATTTTTCCTTTCTTGTTATGGTGAAGGGTGAGGGGTTGCGTGGTGTAATATACCAGAGGATCATATTAGAGAACTTGTGTAGTGCAGAGACAGCAGAAGACTTCAGTAAGGATCATGGAGATGACAGTCACACCTCAAATGACATAGAAGTACATAGAATTCAGAATTACAGATATTAGAGATCAGAGGCAAATAAGTGAGGAGTGTTTGCTTCTATTCAGTAGCTCACTGGAAGTACTCTAAACATAATGTAAAGGAGAAAATAAATTTATTGAAGTAGTGTTAAATTTTTATGAGTTTGTGAAAGGTGGAGTCTGGTACATGTGCATATGACATCTTGTCTCTGGCTTCGTTTGGAATGAGGTTTGAAAATAAATAGAAAACTCTTGAAAGCAACAAAAGGCTGCTGAAAACCAGCTTTATTCTTGTCTCTTGTGTTCTTTTCAGTTTCTTGGTTGGGAAAGCCTTTGTAAAGATCACGTGAGAGGGAAGTGAAATTATGGAGCTTATATGAAATTAAGACTTAAATATTGTTTTCATTAAAACCAGAAACAGTATAGCCATGAACTCAGCAGTCTGCTGTAGGCAGTGAAAAGCCAGACTGCTGTATGAGAGAACTACAGTTATCAACCCAGAATTGGTTCCAGGACTGTAAATATTAAGATGGATTTTTGAATGAAGAAGAGCATTATAGGCTGTGGTTCTTGGCCATGACTTCAACTGTCATGGGAGAATTATTCAGTGATGATAAGGAGTGGTGCAATCAAGGGATGTCAGTTTCAAAGATAACAGGTATGGAAGGTAATACAAACCTTCACAACAAATTCTGTGTGCCTCCTTGTTTTCTTCATAAGGGAGAGTCAAGCTCTGAATTTTCTGTGAGGTCACAATTATAATGAAAATATTTAAAATAATGACTACAGGCTCCTGAAGGAAAATAATGTAAAAGGAAGAATTAAAATAAAAATCTGTAAGCCTGAAGCTACTTGTAAGATGGCTCTTTAAAGGATAATTTAAATAGATATAAAGAGAACTTGAGAAATAACTTTCAGAGCTATGTGTTTTACAGTTCTTTAAAATTGCAAGCAGTAGAAAAAGTATGATTGGACAGAAATTTTTAGCAAAAACTTTGTTAAGCTTTTAAATTAAAAATTATGTAATACAAAAAGTTAAAAAAGTAATGCTGACATTTTATATGTTCATCTTTTCTTGTGTTCAGCTGTTTCTTCGCTGGTGTTCTTTTGAAGCTAAGTTTTTCACCAGAAAGCTTTGCTGCTAAATATTGACAGCTTTTTTCCAGTTGTTTTCTTTGTGCCCTTCTACCCAAATTATTGGCATATGATTGTTGAATTGATATTAGTTTGTTTGAGAAACTATAAAAAATGGATTCAAAATCACATGCAGGATATATTTATTAATTTATTTTTATGACATTTGGCTGGCTTGTAGACAAATATTTTAGTCAATATTTTATTTAACACTGATTAAAATGTTGCCAACTTTATAGTAGCAGTAGCAAGTAGGTATAGTAGCAGTAGGTTTTGTAGCAATGTGTGACATTTATCTTAGGAGACCCATAAAGCCTCTGCTTTTTCATAAAGTGAAAGCAGTTATAGGCTGCAGGAATATGATGAATCAGCTTAATGTACTTAAATATTTCTCTGTGTTGGAATTTTCTTTTGAAGTGAATGATTTTTCTTAAATACATCATTAGAGAAGGACTATATGCAATAGACCATTTTTGTTATCTGATAACAATTCAAAACTTTTCATATTTTCCTTTGCACATTCACATGATTATTCTGGCGACACATACATGCCTTGTCATTGATTGTGACAGCTTTAATAGGCACTGTCCATATGATCCAGCATGCATGTCTCTCTGCTTCTTAGATCTGATTGTTCCCCATTACTCCCTGGGGAAAATGAGTGTCACTCTCCATGAAGAATTTGTGAGGTGCCATCCTGTGTGAGTAGAGTGATTTGTCTAATGCTTGTCTGGATGTTGATACAGATACAAATTGTAAACAATAGATCTACTTTCTTATGCTGTGTGTGAAGTGGTCAGCTCACGACACAGATGTCAAAGCACTTAATTGTGGGGTTTTCCTGACACAACAAGTCAGTCTTTTACAATTCTGCTTCCGTATTTGCTTCTTGTGGCAAACAAGAAGCACACGTGACAGATTAATTATTGTTTTATCTTCATTCCATGACTACAATATAGTCACTGTTTGCTTTCTTTTAGAACTGCCTGAGACTACCTTAGTTGAAGAGAAAGTTCAAGAGTCAGAGGCATGGGCCAGACCTCTTGTCTACCTGTGGCAGACAAGACCACCCAATTTTAATGCTGAAAAAGAGTACAATGCAGCTTGTGCAAGAAAGGAACCGCACTGTGCCATTTGCACTCTTCTTATGCCGTACTATAAGGTAAGCAGGATTTGCAGAGCTCTGTTTCTGGTTGAAGTGTGAAATACATGCCTAGCTACTTAATTTCCAAAAAATTATAAAAAATATGAACTTATGCATTTCATTTGTAAGAGAGGTAAATAAACTCCTGTCATTAAAATTAGAACTGATACTTTGTTCACTTGCATCTATCCTTGGCTGCAGACATTGTATGCCTTCTACTACCATTTATGCTGGATTTGTGTTAGTGTGTGTGTATTTTCCCTTGAAATTACATTTTTTGGTGTGGTGAACTGAAGTAGGTTTGTGTCTTCTAGCTATTTCCTTTATGCTGCCTTCCTTCAGTGTTGAGTAAATAAGTGTTTTTGTAGTACTTAGGCCTTCTCAATAAAAATACTCCCCTGGAAACAGAGTAATGCAAAACATTACATTATTGTAAAGCAGTGGCTTAATACTGTCTTATGGAATTACTGTGTCAAATGGCAAGTAAAAATGGTGTTTTAGTAGTACTGTGTTTATGTAGTATTCTATTGCTAATTCTTAATGTGCTAAACTGGAATTTTCTCAGCATGAGAAACCAGGAAAAAAGCCTTTATTGCACTGGACCCAGTTAAATGGCCCAAGAGGTAACACTGAACACTGCTGCAATGACAACTGGTTTGCAGGCTGAGTGCTATTCTAGATGTCACAGTTACTTGGAACAATCAAGGTAGAATAACTTGATAAATGCCTAGAGGCAGTCAATTTTTTCATGAAACTGTTACACTCAGTACGAAAGTTGGGAGGGGTGGAGTAGTTTCATCATTGTCAAAAGGAAGAGTAAGACTCCCTTTCTTTTACTTAAATATAGGTTTTCTTTATTTTCCAGCCAGAAAATCAAGATGAAGAAAGTCCTACTTTCAGTGAAGCAAACTCAGCAGAAACACTGATGGCAGAAAAGGAGAAGACAAAACCTCTTATTCCAGAGATGTGTTTTATTTACAGTGAAGAAAATACCGAAAACTATCCATCAAATGCCTTTGTTGAAGAAGATGGAACAAGTCTTCTGATTTCATGTGCAAACTGTTGCGTACGGGTTCATGCAAGTAAATAATCTAATTGGTTTGTTGGCAGAAATGTAATTTTAAATATTGCTTTATTGGTAAATAATAGTTAGCTACACTTCTAGCATGTCTTTAAAAGTACTTGAAGAACATTTCCATTTGTAATGCTTCAATCACTGGCTAATTTTTTTTGAAAACGATGTTACATTTTATGTAACTTTTTTAGGGTTGCTGTGAAAATATTGAAGAATTAACTGTCTTGTAAACTTTTGATGATCACAAACTACTGATTCTTTTTTCTGTTCTAGTGATTTAATTATTCTTTTGCTTCTCTATTTTAAATCACTGTGCAAAACTAGTGTGTCCTTATTAAGTAGTTAGGGTGAACTTCTAGAGGCTTTGTCAATATTGCTATTAAATTTAGGGATGCAGTATTTTCCTTCACTTGACATTCTTTTTTATTGGAAGAGTAACTGATGAATGCATATATTTTTCTGCAGTATCTCCTAAAGACTGTAGAACTGTATTAGTTTAGTCTAAGAAGTCCAGGAGATACCTGGAAATACGGTATATTTGCAGAGAATAGATGTCAGTACATTAAGTCAAATTTTTACTTCAGGGAGATTTGGTGATATGATATTGCAATGACAAAGGTAAGAAATGAATTGGTTTTGAAAAAAGTCTGCATCTTTTCCAAAAAATGTAAAAAAATTTGGTGAGATTTTGGTTTTTTGGTTTGCTGGGTTTTTGGGGTTTTTTTTCATATGAGGATTTTTGTGGGTTCTTCTTTTTATTTAAGTTTTGGGAAGATATATTTCATAGACTATGAAATCAGCAGTAAGCCTAGACTGTAAAAGTCTCCTTTATCACAGGACAGACGTGTTTCACTTTTACATATAATTGAATTGTATGACATTGCTGATAAAAAGGCAGAATACAATAATCAGTCCAGCTTTCTTATTCTAGGTTGCTATGGTGTTCCTTTTCATGAAATCCATAACGAGTGGTTGTGTTCTCGATGCAGAAAAAAAGCCTGGACAGCTGTAAGTTGTTTAGCTATCTAACACACTAGAGATTAGGGGAGTAAAAAAAAGGTAGCATGTGCATTATCTCATGTGGTATGCAGTCTGCATACCACATATTTCATATATTTCTGATCATACTTGCTGGGGAAAAACTCTTTGTAAAATATGAATAGATTTCATTGCAAAATGTAATGGCATTTAAAAACTTGGAGTAGTTCCATAGACTCAGGAAAAGGATTGTCTAACAGGATATAGTTTTGTGAAAAGCTGTATCAAGCATATTCAAGCAAACAACTGTAAAGAGAGAAAAAGTGAGATTTCTCCTAAATAGGTATAATCCAATTTTCATCTTTCCATTGGTTACCCTATAACAGCTTCCTTTTCAGATAGTCATGAATTTGAGGATCTTCTGAAATACTTTCGTGACTACTGTTCTAGATTCAGGAGAATATCAAGAGGAAAAGTGTAAGCCTGTTGCTATGAGTTCAGAATTTAATTACCAGTTAAATAGGGTTAGAGAACCCCACCACTCTGTCAAAAATTGAAAAACGTTAACTTTTTTCAGGGAAATTACAGCTATGATGTGGAAGTAGGGAAGTTCCAAGGAACACATCCCGATTCATGAAATACCATGTATGGCTAAATCATATATTTTTTTGTTAAAAACACAGACAAATTTAAGATGTTGTATTCGGACCTGATATAACTGAAATATAAAAATAACACATTTGAGTGGCAATTAGAAGTCCTTGTCTTTTGACTCTAGTACATTTTTTAAAACCAAAGTCACTAAAAAAATTGTACAACAAAATCCAGTCTTAAAATTTGTTAACGATGTGTTGTAGAAAGGATTCTAAAATTGTTCTGAGGTTTTAAGGTTACAAATAATCTTGAAGTGGTCATTTAGATGGCAGCAGTAAGTGAATGATGAGAAAAACAGTGATGTGTTTGATGACTCATTTATGTTCACTATGGGTCAATTAAGGGGGGAGGTTGGTAATATGATAGAGAAAGGAAAATATTGGTGAGAAGATTAACACTTCTAACTTGACTGGAATTTTTCTTTGGTGGACTTTTAGGGGAAGAATTAACACCTGTGAAAGACATTAATTTGAAAAGAATTGTTCATCTTTTACTGAATAAGTTTGGGGTTATTCTTATATTATACATATAAGTTTCTGATAATAAGGAAAATCTGAATTTAAGGGAAAGTACTTTCTTAGCCAAATTACTTCAGGGGATGAGATGAAGTAGTGAAAGAGCTACAAAGACCATATGGGAGTTGGCTGAATGAAAGTTTTATGTGATGAGGTTTTAGAATTGGATTTTTGCACAAGCACGCTCTAGAAACTGTAGAGAAGGTGCAGTGTATTTCTGTACTTCATAAGTTAGCTAACAAGAAGATAATAGGACTGAAATAGAGCACCATTTTCACCTTCTTGCAAAGGCAAGATAATATGTGTTAGGCATTTGGACAGTTTTTTTAATGTAAGCTTTACCTGTTATATATTTAACTGAATTGCTGTAATTTTATGTGTGTATTGATTATTGTATAGTTGAATTGCTAAAGCTAGAAAGTCATCTTTCTGTAGCTCTGTTTTGGTAACCTGAATGAAATTAATTTTTACCCTAAGAGTTCTACATTCAGATAGGCTTGTGGAATAAAGTTCCATTCTTAATGCCTTAAGTCATCATTAGGTTGGGAAGTTTTAACGAAATTGAATAGAACTCTAGACTATTATTATGTTTACTTATAAACTTGTCCTCTTGTCTGCTGTCTTTTAGTCTTTGTTACTACATGTCATTCACATGTAAATGTGAACTGGTCTTTTTCACCTGCAAGATGCAGGAGTAATAGATAATAGGCATCTGCTACCCAAGATAAATAGCAGAAATGCAGCTGTTTCAGGAAAGTGAATAATGCTTTGTTAAATATATACATGTGAATGATATCAAATTCACTTTTTTAACAATTAGGTCTTTCAACAATCTTGGCATGCAGATCTTCTGCTAATAGCAATCTCAGAGCTATTAGTGATTACAGGAGTTTGCAGAGCTTAGGTGAGGTGACATCAGCCTGGAAAATATATTATTGTTTTTTTTTAAAAGGTGTGAAATGGGTGACCTGAGGAAGTAGGTGGCAGTTAACCTATCAGAGATAACAAGAAAAATACTGAACAAGTGCTGAATCTATCAATTTCTAAAATTGTAGACAATAATAGGATACAAAGAGATATCTAAGAACAGGCCACTGATTTTTTTTTCTGTGGAAGATCATGGGAGTAAGGAATAAGCAGAAGATTTCATGCATCCTAACTTTCAGATGCTTTTGATAGTGTTTTAAGTTCTGATATTGGCAGTGGAAGAAGAGAGGTGATGAAAATAATAGTTGCCAAACACATAGCAGTATGGATTTGCTCTCAACCTTAATATGTCAGACCACCAGCCATCATTCTCACAGGACTTTTAAAACCATTAAGAAAATCAATTTCTGGGCATTATTTGCAGATTACTTTTCATGTCATTATGGAGCATATGTGGAAATCTAGACTGGTCTACTTTAAGCTGTTTAAAATGATTGCACAGGAACTGGGGGAGATTACATAATGTGACTCAACCAAAGTGTTAAACTTTATTGAAAAGTATATCATATGATGTTCAGAAGAGATAGGGAGAGCATTACAAGTTGTCAGCTATGCACACATAATATGGCAGACTCTACCTAAGCAGTAGTTCCTGTTGCCAGCTGCAGTTGTGACTACTCTGGTCACAAACCAAACATGTCATCAGTTCTATAGAATCTGAAACATCACATGAGGATGCTTAAGCTTTGTACTAGAAACTAAACCTGGAAAAAACCCATGGAACAATCTTCCTGATCTCTTCAGCTTTGGTAAGAGTCCAACTGAAGAACTGTGTGTAACAGTAGACGTACAATGTTCAAAAAACCATGATGGAAGATACAAGAGTTGCAACTGAAATTGAAGTAAACTAGAGTTCTTTTAATCATTCCTGATAGATGTCAATCATTCCATAAGGGAGGATTGAAAAGATTTAATCTTCTTAGTATAGTGAGGGGAAGGTAGAAAGAAAAAAAAGTCACACTCTTTAATGTAAAATTGTATGTGTATAACTAAGAGTAGCATAAGCAATTGCCATCCTGGAATTTTTTCCTCTTGTGTCTAATGAGCTTATCTCCAGGAATAACTTGTACCGACTACCCCTCATATTTTCTATGTGACTATATGAAAGGGAATCTCTGTCTTGTCTTTTAGGGACAAGATGACTTGTAAAGGCCTTAAGCTGCATCAGCAGAAGTTTATACCAGGAAAATTTTAATTTTTTGTTTCTAAAACTAGTGAACAGAAGGGCTAGGATATATAGAGATTTTATAGAAGCTACTCCTTTAAGATTTTTAAAAACATGTTACAGAAACATTTTACAGGAATAATGAAAGAAGGTTATGCCTTGAGGCAGAATGATAAAATAGATACTGGATTTTGTTTCTTCTATAGTTTACTTTTGTTTGTTTCAACAATATTATTTATTGCAAGCAGTTTGGCTGTAGTTGTCTTAGTGGAAAAATTTACTGGTTTGTTATCCAGCTTAAATATGCTCAGTCCTGACATGAGCATGATAATAACTGCTGATACTTATTTCATCCTATTTGTCATTTTAGGAAAATATTTCTGTCACTTCAGAGTTTGGGTGATAACCTTAGATGATCCTAGCAACTTTTACTTCAAAATAGTACAATACTTTTATCTAATTCTAGAATTATACTTAAGATAATATGGTTCTCTTTTAACCAATCTTCTGTATGTTAAAAATGACAAGTTAATTAAATATACCTCTATCCCAAAGTGCTACTTTCTCTTTTGAAGATCAGTGATTCAAGTTACTTGTACCAACCTGCAACCACCTTCAAAGGAAGCATAAAGTTTTATGCTTCCTTTGAATTAAATGCATACGTTTCTTTTCTGAATAAATTTTGAAATTTTCAAAAATTTTTCATGTAATTGTAGAATTCGAGGTTGGAAAAAGACGTCAAGGATCATCTGGTCCAACCTTTCTTGGCAAAAGCACAGACGGACTGACACCCTGTTCAGATGAATTTTAAGTGTCCAGCATAGGGAAACTCACCCTATGTAGTAATCTCTTTGGAGATTACTGCAGTAGTTGTCACTGTGAAATTTTTTCTTCTTGTGTCTCATCAGATTGTCTCCACGAATAACTTGTATCCATTACCCCTCATATTTTCCATGTGACTCCTTGTAAGAAAGGGCATCTCCATCTTCTTCATAGCCAGTCTTTAAATATTGGAACTGGATGATCCAGTCTCCCCTAAGACTTCTTTACTTACTGCCAAACAAATTCAATTCTCTCAGCTTTTCCAAATAAGCTGCCCAGTCCATTGGTTGTCTATGTGTCCCTTCTCTGGACCTCTCCACCCCAGGCACACCTTTTTTGACCAAAACTGAACACCAAATCTGTTTTCTATACCTGTTGTTTTACCTAAAATATTTTAATTGTATTTGAATTTGTAGTACTGTAAGTCTCTCTGAAGAGGGAGGTGAAATTAAATAAAATTCCTTATTTGCACAATCTTTTTTTTTTTACTGTAGGAAATATAGTGTGAGTGTATTCTACATTCCAACTGACACAGTTGAGACTTTGAGTTTCTATGTGTATGAAATAAAAAAATCATGTTCATCTAAATTTTTGTTCTGCATAATCATTCCTAAAAAAATGCAGCTGTTGCAGAAGATCTGAAATGGATTTGGCTCTCTGTGGGAATTACAGATACGCATCCTTCCAAAATTTTTTTCTTTTATATATCAGAAAATTGCACAAGATGGGAAGATTTAATTACTAGGAAATACCGACTCCCTGAAACTCCAGCTTCCTGGATGTTTGAAATTGTTTTACCTACATTTCATATTGATTTCTAGAAGAAGGAGATTTAGCTGCAGATGTCCCGTCTCAGAAATTCCCTTCTGGCTAAGGCATTAAATCCT